ATGTTATTCACCTAGCACTCAGCGGCCGAAGGTGCAAAACATTTACCTACCGCACTAGGAATGTAAATGATGAAAATAGAAGAGTATTCTTCTCCTATAAACTATTGTTTCCTCAACTTTGGGATGACGATATTTGACCTTTTCGGAAAGGAAACTGACATTGATTGGGCTAACACTAGATAGACCGTCGCTGTCTCAACCATTGTTTTGCGTTATGCTGAACAAGATTAGCTGTGCTGTATTTTTGGTGTTACTGTCAGTGGGAACAAAGTGTTCGATTCTCTTATCAGAAATCATTGAAACTGGATGGGTTTGATCATGCAGTGTGTAATTCCTACAGTGTCGTAGAATGGTGTAAACGGGAATGCGAATGAACGTTTCTAGACCAAGTTTGTAAGCATGAATATTTGTCCTCAAAACATTTTTGTTCACTTCCGCGGCTTCACTGCCGTTTCGTAATTTAGTTATTCGTTGACAGTTGATAACGCCTACTTACAATATAATGTGAGGTTAGCTATAAAGGTATTTGCATAGTGGAACTCAGTTCAAGGCTTGTTAGTAGGTGATTAGCTCAGCGTTTTCTGATGCCCGCAGTGGTACTCTGGCTTGTAGCAAATGATTAACGAACTGAGAGTATGTTTTTTTTTAATAATGCACCTTCAAGTTTCCATTTTAAGAAGGATGTTGATTTTGTTTTAACTGCGGTCCTCGCATGACTCAGATTTTCTGTATTAACGCATTATGTACTCTTTAGGCGCCATATCTCCTCTGCGTCGAAGTTTTAGAAGTGGACGATATTAATAACGTTGTCGTGCCTCCGAAGTCGTCGGAAATGTCCGCCTTGTTACACTCTAAATCGTTCGACAACATCGCGGATGCACAGTGGAATTCGCGGCACATTTCCGAGAATGCTATCATCTGTCCGGCGGATCACGAACACGACGAGGACGACGTATCTCCTCAGGTATGTAATTTGAGCGCCACATACATGTTTGTACACGTTTACTCGTGCTTGTATTGCGTTAGTACTATGGATACAGACAAATACGCAAGGTTTTAAAAAAATGTTTATTCGTTGCTGATCGGGGGGTTCAAAGTTGTTTAGAACAGGACTGCTTAGTTGGCAGAGCGCCGGACTCAGAACCGGAAAGTCTGGGGTTCGATGCCCAATTTGGTATCACTATCCTTTCTTACTGCTCTCTGGAAAGGAAACAGGAAACACGCACTATGCTTTCACAGCTGCTGTCAACACTGTCTTTAGAATAAAGCAGTCCTGGTTGATGGCTTGGAAATGGAGGTCAGCGAGCCACCGTAACTTTATAAAAAGAAACGTGTCAGAAATGGCATAGTCATGAATGTGTGGGGAAGGCGATAATATAAGGGATTCAATATAATTCAAAGACGGTAATCAAAACTTTTAGTTTGCTTTGTTTCCATTCCTTAATGTCGAACAGAGCAGTAAGTTGGCTGTAGAGCCGATTTACAAAGCAGTGTGGCTAAAAATTACACGAATTAATCGGTTTTTGAGTCAGATTCGGTTTCATTTACCGTCACCGTTTGTTGAATAAAAGACTATACTGAATGCGCGGACGTTTAGTTTCAAAGTTCTGGGAATAGTCAGTACTTTGACACAACTGCTTTAAAGACGATTTCAACAGGCAGCTGCTTTTAGTTTACCACGGGGAGAATGAACGCTATAGATACAATATCACAGATGTCCTTTGGGAGCACGACCAGCACGGATTCGAAGGAACAGTCAAATCAGGTGATCGCCAGCGACATTCGACGCAGACTCGCCGAATCACTTTCAGCCCCGACTAAGCAGCTAAAAGTATTGATCTTATCTCCTGTTGTTTATGATTCATTCATCGTTTTTAGCATAACATCGAAGACCCGTCGGCATCGGTGCTCAGTGAGCCATGGGAAGAGAAGCTACGGAGGATCAGAGAGGCCTCGCCATACGGCCATCTTTCTAACTGGAAACTTCTGCCTGTGATCATTAAGACGGGCGACGATCTGAGGCAGGAGCTGCTAGCGTATCAAATTTTATGCGAGTTGAAGGTAGCTTTTGTTGAGTCAATCTTGAAGATTCAATTTTCACTCGTTTATTTATGCTTTCTGTGCGCACTGAATATGCAGCTACTAATCACTAACTAGTTACAAAATTCATTATGAAACATAAAATGGATCAACAATTAGAATGGAGGTTGACGCATCGGTAAATGTTGTAAATTAACGGTCGTATATCTCTTTAGGAAAACATTTGCTCTAACCTATGATTTGCTGTGATTTTTAATGGAAGAAATCACTTTGAAACATTACTCTTGAAACCTAAATGTCTGCTCTCTAGAGGAAAAGATCATGAGCTAACTAAAAAAACAACGCGACAGGATGAAGTTGGAATTTTTTCCACTATGCGCCGTGGTTTAAAAATATTTGATCTCATCAATTGAAGGAAGTTCTTCTGATGTGCAGCTGATTTGACTATGTCGGCACAAACAAGGTTGACGATACTCCTCAACCCTTCAGCTGATGAACTCAAATGTTGACGGAGTCTCGCTGAAGCTTAGACTTCAGAGCAGACGCAGGCTCTGACTCAAGTCTGCACACTCAGTCTAAGGTACTGTTGGGAATGTTTCCTCGAGGAAGTGGCTTTGGATCACGAACTTAGATGTCCTGCATGATGATGATATAAATCATGTCGACAACATGTCCTGCCTATCATTCTTCTTCGACCTCTGCTGTCCTGTATTCTCTTGTCAAGCTACTCATACGGCAACAAGAAAATACTTACCGTCATAGAGCCTCAGCTGAGCTGAAAGTTATCGAAAAATGATTTCGGAAAAAATTCACCGCCTTAGAAAGAACTCAACATTTCGTTGTTTCCTGAAAACGCAAACCTCTCGAGGCGTGAATGACGATAAAGGAAGTAAGCAATTTTCGCAAAATGCAATTTCAGTCATAGACGCAAATGTCATAAAGACTTTTTTCGTCATGAGACCACATCAGAGTATCAGGAAACGGTCCCACTAGACATGCGTGGTGCAGAAATGATACGGTTTACCGAAGACGATGTATGAGCATTGCATTGTCTGAGGAGCCTCGGCTTTTTTAGAAACGAAAACTGCCAGACGTACTAAAGCTTGGAGCCCGTCAAATCTCTCAGGTATTCAACAAAATATTTTTCCGTTGCATAAACAAGGGCACTGTTCCTAACGCATGGCAAAAGATTCGGACTGTTTTTGTTCCAAAACTAGCTCATTCGCGATTGCCCTAGCATTGGAAGTCGATGGCTATTACCTCGCTGGCATTCAAGTACTTGGAAAGACTCTGTTTACCTAGAATATTGGAGGCCACCGCTGCTCAAGCTGACCTTTTGCAGTTCGGATTTGCTATAAGTCGATGCATGACTGATGCTCTGACTCTGATTAACTTGATTGCCAGCAGTCTTGACAGAACAAAGGCTGTACGATAGTACGATCGGTGTTTATGGATTTCAGTTAGACAGCACGATTCCACGAGATCGTTCCCTGCAAAGCTTGACGAATACCAAAATCAGTCCTCGGCTTGTTACGATGCTAGCAACATATTTCTTTCAGTGACGTTACACAGTGCATCCGAGCAAGAAGATTCAAGTCAAGTTGGCAGTCTTTGTAAATTCGGACTGCTACAAGGTTCTATGTTGTCTCCTACCTTGTTTTCCTTCTGTACCAGTAACTGCATAAGCTAGGTGAGAGCTATCTGTATAAAATACGCTGACGACATCTCTGCTTGCACACGTACAGAATTTCGAAGACGTAACACGGCTGAGTAATGGCATCCAAAATGTCTTTATTTGGGCCAGCACAACCGGATTTAAGCGGAATCCGTTTAAATCAAAGGATATGGTATTTCGTCACGTCCGTTTTAAATCACTGGACCTTTAACTTTTACTAGTCGTGAGCAGCGTTGTGTTTTGCAGTAATCAAATACCTAGGAGTTATTCTGAAGGAAAGCATACCTTGAGGAAGGCACATCTCAGTTGTAGCTCATAAAGTACACAAGGCTGCCTCGTTTCTCCGGTGGCTGAGATAAGGTCAGATGCCGTCAAAGGTTCTGCAGTCTTTCTCGAAGAATTCCTATGACCTCAATACAATATGCAGCGCCAATTTACTTCCCTAATCTGACCCAAAAAATGGTCCGTGTTGCGGAGAGCTATGAAAACGGCGGCTTTCTCTGGTAATCTTTACTCGAAGGTAGAGATGGATATAATGGCTAGAAAAGTAGTCGAATCAGCGGCATCACTTGGCCTAACGATATTCTACGATCCGAAACATCTTATGCACGAGGCACTAACAACTTCCGGGTTTAGAATACAGTCAACTAAAAGCAGATTCATACCTGCTTTCTGTCATACGGAGGTGAACAGATGATCGGTTATACCCTTTATCGTCAGATGCTTATTTGGATAATGAACGTGAGCATGAGTCGATTCGTCGACAACTCAATTCTGATACGTCATTCTGTCTATCATCACGTTAAGTGCTCGTTTATTCTTTGTATATCCTTTTGTACATTGTACGCCTATTCGTCTTGCGCTTTATCCAACGCAACTTGTCTTATTGACCCGCGAAGTAAATTACATTTGATTGATTGACTGACTTACTGACTGAAAGGGCAGCTGAAAGTGATTCTGTATAAGAGATTTTGAAGCGTTTGTCAGAACCATTAGCCAGAAATAGAAAGATGTGATCGGAAAGCACGACACTATAAATTAAGCCAGATGATATCTGATTACTGGTTTTCTGCAGTCCAGACGTCTCGTAATGAACTTTTTCTTTCACCGTCGTAATGCCAGACCGTAACACGTGGTATTAGGATATTCCGTATAACATATCCTAATTGATACTTTCATTGTTTCACTGGATCTGTTGTCTGTCATGCTGTATGTTCGACTTAAACTAGTTGCATAGACCTCAACATCACGCAGCTTTCGACTGATCGCCCTTTAAAACCATAGCGTCTCAAAACCAATGATCCGACATCTGCTAGACTAAATAGGAAGCCTTGGAAGATGATGGCGTGAGAAAAGTATGTGCATAGCGTGCCAGCGTAGTTCGAGTAGTTCGCCAACTCAGCCTTAGACGTCAGAATGCAATGCGGATTACTGATGATTTGTAACTCGTTGCTACACTTTCAGCCTCTTTATTTTATGAACTAAATACTTTTCTTATCAAAAGTGGTGCGTATCGAAAGTTCGAGACCTCTTCTAATCAAAGAAAATAGCACGTATGGCATGGATTGCAAACAGTTCTCGTTGTTTTAATGCACCAAAGCGCAGAAGGCTGCAGCGCGGTCAGTGAAAATTGTAAAGGTATCGCAACCGTTTGAAGAAAAACTGTACCCTGAATACCGATTCACACAGAAAGGACTTCCCCACCGTCTGCACTTGCGAAGATTAAACTCTCTCTGAGTTCATAATATCCTCAAGGGATGGAGGGAATACTGTGAAAATTTTATTACAATAGTCGTAGTATTCGTCTTCGTTACCGCAGCGGAATGAAGTTTAAACAGTTATGATTTTTTACTTCCATGCTTGTCTTGCGAAGAATAAGACGTTTTATAAAACTGTCACAGTCCATAAAGCTTAATCACTCAATGCGCCTGATCAGTCAGTTCTGCGTTCACGTTTCTCACATGAGTTAATTTATACTGGCTAGCTGAATGTAGTACTATTGGTTTGAAGTGGTGTGATCGAATCTGACAACTCTATTATGTTTTATTTCTCGCAGTTACCAACAAATCTACCTTCAGTGTAGGATAATAATGGACAGAAAACCAGCTGGTTGTCAGCAGCGCATCCTTCAGCGATTCTCTTATGGACTGGTTGATCGACAAAAGTTGCTCTACCAGAGTGTTTGTTGCTTCCAGTCGTTGGCTTCAGTTGTGTTTGACCTTTCCTTTAAACAACTTGAAATCCAAGTCACGGTGTTCCTAACGTCCTTAAATCAGATACCAAATTAGGCAACTTTTTACTGGCACCAAAGCCCAAAGGGATTTGTGATGTAAATTTGCAGTTTCGGTAAGTTGATATTCCGCTTAAGGAGCAGATTGACTCAAATGTGTTTTATTCTAGATAGACTTAGCAATATTAAACATCTATATATGATCACATGTAAATCATGTCTTGAAAGCGCATGGACAACCATATATATATATTTTATGCTATGCTGTTTCAATTTTGTAATGAGTTGAAATCGAAATCAGTAATTTTGTTCGATTTTATATTCATATTTTCTATTAACGAAATGCTCCTTCAAGACCAGATCTTACGGCGTATTGCACTGTCTTCTTGCTCCTAGTTGTTTATGGGGCCAGTTATGCAGGCAGCGGTTCCGTGGTCTTTGAGCACCTTCAGCGCTAAATGCATCTCACATCATTTGTCCGCTATAGCCACCTCGCACTCATTACGAACGATATTTCAAGAGGTAGTACTCCTTATATGCTACTACATATACACATAAGTTGTTCGTGCGCTCGAGCATGTAAGATATGGAATAACTCCTCCAAGACTAGATTTTGCAGCGCATTGTGCCGTCCCTTTTCTCTTAATTACCTAAAGGGCCATTTAAGCAGGCCGCCGTTCCGTAGTATTTGAATACCTGCAGTGTCCCGGGCATTCTGCATCATTTCCATTAGAGCCACCTCACGTTTCTCACGAACGATGTTTCAGGAGTTTGTATTTCTTATATGCTACCACAGGAACAACGTCTCACGGGTGTGCTCTGATGCCATGGAGCAGTAGTCTTCGTAAATATTCCCACTGGGAGCAAGGGGGTGGTGCATCGTGCCTTAAAACCTTGTCTTAGCGGGCTTATTCGTTATTTGACATGCCCAGGTGTATGAACAGCTTAGGATATTTTCTGTTAGCAGATTAAGCTATATCTGCATGTGTTTTAAAGCTTTGCGATAGTGTTGAATTGGTCATAGGTATTTAAGCTAATTAACACACTGTTAGTGATATTTTTGTTTTATTTCAGTACATTACTGTCTCAGTGAAGTTTTCCTTCATCTCGTTGTGTTCATCTTTATTTGTTTTTTGATGCTTAGAACATATGGGAGGAAGAGCACGTACCGTTGTGGGTCAAACCATATCGCATATCTGTCATTTCTAAGGACTGCGGTATCATAGAATCAATAGTTAACGCGGTATCTTTACACCAGGTTAATTTTTGCTGATTGTGTATTGCAGAGCGAAACATTGTTGAATTCAGATCAAAAAGAATTTGAGCAAGGATGGTTCATGCTCGATCTTAACTTACTTCCTGAAAGAGTTCGGTGATCTTAACTCTGAGGAATTCCTCACTGCTCAAAACAAGTTCATCCGCAGCTGCGCGGCGTATTGTCTCATATGCTATCTGATGCAAGTGAAAGACAGGTTTGTCGCTGCGGTTCGCTTATTCGTTGCGTTGATGTTTAACGTTCGCTTCATTTAGACATAACGGAAATATTTTGCTGGACGCCGAAGGACACATCATTCATGTTGATTTCGCTTACATTCTTTCTAGTTCGCCCAGGAACCTTGGGTTCGAAAGTTCTCCCTTCAAGCTGACTAATGAAATCGTAGAGGTCAGTCTGCTACTAAATGCTATAAAGGTTGTATGTCTGTGAGAGTTAAAATTTATATATAACATAACGCCACTGCACTGCAGAAAGCTATTCCCATTAAGGTACAGTGTTAATATTAAGCTTGCTAGCAACGTTAGTTGTATAATCTTATCTGAGATGTACAGTACTAGTCTCGGATAATTAGGAGCACTGTTCTATCTGAGAAAAAATATGATCTCCCTATATACTGCGTGAACTTCAGCATTTCATCAGCCATACCGATAAGATCGTCAAACGAAGATAAGCATAAAACGGAACGAGTCAGTTATGCGATATCGAGGTATTTTCTTGATAGTTTTATTTCATTCTTTCGTACTGTGAAAATATACACGAAGTTTCAAACAATGTTAAGAGTAATGACATCAGCCTTAAGTTATAAGTAATATATTTTAGGTGATGGGAAGTTGCAATGGCAATATGTTTAGCTACTTCAAAATCTTGATGCTGCAGGGGCTGATCGCTGCTCGTAAACACCAAGAGCGAATATTGTCGATCGTCGAAATCATGCTCTCAGGTACACTGATGTTCGTTATTCGGCGTAAGCTATCACCTATTTCTCAGGTAACCAGCTTCCGTGTTTTCGTGGAGGGGCGGCCGTTCTTCGAGGCCTGAGGGATCGCCTTCATCTGAACTGTACAGAAGAAAAATTGCATGGCATAATTGACTCTATGGTTGAGAACAGCAGGCATTCATTGACCACTAGGTTATATGACAATTTCCAGTATTTTACAAATGGAATTTTGTAAAAGTTTCTTTCTTCACTCTCATCAAGTTCGCTAAGGTTGCTTCTTTTACCCCGTTTGATCTGTGGTCAGTACATCGCTGTTGAACTTGTTTGGACCTGCTTCCAATTGCGAACTTGTTTGATACTGCAGCTGTAGCTGCAGGCTTTATTTTAATTCGTTTTGAATAATTAAATTCAAGTTTTGTACAGTTTGGTATTTTTTGATTTGTTTAAAGTTATCAGAAGATTTGTTCGAAGTTATGAGTTTTGGGCGCCTCGTCCATACAGGACTGGTTATGTTTAACCCTGCTGTTATTAAACTGATTTTATCTGCAGCTATTTTCTGTTCGATGGGAGTTAATACTTTAGTACATGCCTTCGCCCTCCGTCTGTTACGTGTTTCTTTTCAAATTTGTAGCGTTATCGAAACGTTACTGTTGATGATGGTGCTTGATGAAAATTCTGAAAAGTTTTTGACCGATTCTTTATATGCGGGGAAGAAATTTGTAAGATTTCTTCATGTAAATTCTGCCGTTGTTTAACTAATTTCATGTTTAGGTAACCATCAGATATCTTATACGAAATCTGTCAGTTTCCGCTGAAGATGCAAAACTGTTAGTGACTGTTCTTCGAACCTTATTTGTTCTAATCACATTCAGTTTAAGATGCCTCGAAAAATTTTACCTGTCCCATCAAGGGAACCGCGACTTGAAAGCTGTGTTCTATCTCTCAGGATATGTTTCGCTGTACGGGTTCAAGGTACAAGCAAATCCTGCGTCACTTATCTGGTTTTCTGTAAAACCCGAACGTTACTTTCACTTAAACGATTATATTCTTAACAGAATATTGAGTTTATCCGACACAGTCCAGAAACACTTGACTCCGTGTATGACATTATTGGACCTAATTTTTTACTCGATGCGCAAGCACTTAACGAAGCCTTACAAATATGGGACCCGGTTTTTAGTGAGAGCTTGAAAACTGCTGCTACTTATTTCAGATAATCAAACCCTATATTTATTGTGCCAGCATGTCTGCTGATTTCGTGATTTGCTTGCGGAGCTTTCCCGAAATGATTTAGACGTCACCTAATTTAAGGGGCTAAAGGAGTGATTGTCGATGTATGTGGGGTACGCCTCAGTTGCCCTGTTTGCCTGGTAAATGTCGCCAGCGTTGTTTCATTTCTTCAGTGTCGCAGGTTTGACTCAGGGGTGGGGTGGCTAACCTGAAACTTGGCGATGCGCAGGCTATCGACGATTGATGCATGTAGTTCTGCTCTGCGTTATAGTCTGTAGCACTTGGCCATGCTGTGGTTCATTGGTGGATCGAAATTTGGTCGATCTTTAGCTGTTTCATCTCGTTTAAACCTAAGGTCTAGCGGTGAAATCTGCAAATTTGAACCATGTTACCAAGCGGCTCATACTGTATGACCAATTCGAAATATGTATGAATAACTGCAGTGTTAAGTTGTCATGTACGCTTCTGAATTAGAAGTTGTCTGCATCT